CAAATAGCATATATGCATATATACATAACAAATGGACAGAGACAATAGTGCGGTGAAGGCCTGAGGTGAGGTCAGGGCTAGGTGGAGGGGGGCAAAAGGTGAGGGGAGTGGGGGTCCATCTGTAATACTGCCAACAATAAATATATATATTTATGTACATATTTTATACATATATGTATATATATAGACTATCTCTGCAAAATATATAATAAACTGGTAAGTGTAGTTGCCTATAGGAAGAGGTCCTTGGGGACTAGAGGGCTGACTAAGCAGAGACATTTCATTGCATGCCCTTTTGAACTTGCCTCTTTTTTTTTAAGCTATGTTTATACATTGTTTTTAAACTTAAAAATAACCTGAGGATATTTTTTCCATTGCTAAAGATTAGTAAATTAATTGATTAAGTGAATACTCTGTCCACTGTATGTAGAGAAAAATTGAAGAGTGCAAGGAGACAAGTCCACGGGGCTACTGCGACTGGCCAGGCAGGAGATGTCGACACCTGGCTTCTAAAGGTACAGAAACAGGACTTGAGCCCAGTCCCCTAAGATTGCGACTCCTGGCCCTTCTCCACCACCATAGCTAGGCCTTGTATTCCTATGGGTGGCACACGGAGACAGGGCAGAATGAAATGGCTGCAGAGCCAGTCATATCTGAGCATGTGACACACTATGGGGAGGAGGTATGAGAAAAAGCCAGAACCCAAGGAATAGTTATGAGAGGATGATGGGGTCTTGGGGAAAGGGAACAAGTTTTTATTTGTGCAGAGGTGCAAACTTAATTGATTTACCTGAGCTACTGAAATTCCCAGCTGTAAAATCATGCAGATGTAACACCTCTGAAAATGAGACTCAGCATCTGAGTTGAACTCTTGAGATCCCAGTTTGTGGAACGGGAGCTTTGAAACCTCTCTGGCAGGCGGTCCACACCCAGCAAGAACACGGGAAGCTGCAGCCTGCTCTCACCCTGCAGGCTGACTTCACGTCTATGCTGGGTGAAGTTGAACTGCACGGTATGCAAAGCGTTCACACGGCTGGCACAAGTAAATAAAAAAATGATTACTAAAAGAAGGAATGAATGTCAGCAATTGTAGCAATTATATACAGTTAACAAGAAATAAAATGAATTTGGGGAGAACACAAGCATTCAGTCCATTGCAACAGGGAACTATGTATACATATCAAGCTTCTGTCTCACTGTGTTCAGTCTTCCCCATCTCACAACTTACCTCCTCCATAAAATCCTGCTCTTATTCCTCAAATTGGATGCAATAATGCCTTTTGAACCTCTTGTCATTTCTTGATACTTCCCTTATTTCATTTATGGGTACCCTACAGCTTAGTGCTAACAAGCAAGCCATCTGGATATTGGCTCTAAGCTCTTGGTCTACCATTCCCTAACTTTACTAGTTATGTGATCTTGGGCAATTTACTTAACCTTTCTGTGAATCCATTTCTTCATTTGCAAAATGAGGATAGTCATGTCATGTACTTCATAGTGTTGTTGTGAGTCATAAATGGGTTTTTATATACATTTACATCTAATGTATATATTCATGTGTGCATATATTTTAATATGTATATATAAATATATATTTATGGGTATATGTATATTTATATGTATGTGTGTATATATTTATATATGTGTGCATATATCAGTTTTGGGCACATTGTAAGCTCTGTATAGGAATTGGTTATTATTACTATACAATTGTGCATAATAATTATTGATCTATTTGTCATATCTCTTATTTAGATTATATGCACTTTAAATTACCTGTCTGACTTAGGTTCTTCTTGTAGCATAGTATATTAGTCATCTATTGCTGTGTAACAAACTAACTCAAAACTTAGTTTAATAACAAACATGTATAATCTCGCAGTTTCTGTGGAGTAGAAATGTGGGCCTGACTCAGGATCTCTTGAGATGGTGCCGGTGAGATGCAACAAGGGCTGCTGTCATCTTAAGGCTTGACTGGGGAAGGATCTACCTCCAAGCTCATTCATGTGACTATTGGCAGCCTCAGGTCTACTGGGTATTGTCTGGAGACCTCACTTCTCTGCCATGGGGGCTTCTTCATCAGGCAGCTCACAGCATGGCAGCCAGGTTCCCCAGAGCAAAGGCACTGAAAGAGAGGGAAAAAAAAAGAGAGAGAGAACAAAACAGAAGTCACAGTGTTTTGATAGCCTAATCTCAAGAGTGACAACTCATCACGTGTGCTAGATTCTACTTATTGGAAGTGAGTTACTATGTCCAGCTTCCCCTCAAGGGAAAGGGACTGCTCAGGGCCATGAAGACTGGGAGGTGCGTGCCATCATTGGAGCCCACCTTGGAGGCTGCCTTGCACACATAGTAAGAAACTGGAAAATGTACATTAGTTAAATGTGTTATACTTATCACTAACCCTTGTAATTCTGAAATCCATGTATTGAGTGGACTGAACAAGAGACCTGCACAGGTAAATTAGGTCAAAGAGAAACACTCATTCACTTGTTTATTTATTTAATAAACCCTGGCTGACCCCTAGTTTTATGTCAGACACTGTGTGAATACTAAGATTTTTAAAGAATGAATTTTAAAGCTGGATAGAATCTGGCCCAACTTTCTCATTTAACAAAGGAGGCATCTGAGGCCCACAGCAGACAGCCTAGTCATCCCAAGTCCCACAGCAGCACTACTAATGCCAGGACACAATCTCTCGATTTAAGGCTCTCTCCTCTGATGGAAATATGGGGTCCCAGCCACCTCGTCCAGTGCAAACAATCTCCCCACTTCTAGTTCCATCAATTAAATCTTAAAGAACTAAATCAGTGGGACATCCATTCTCTTTCAACGCTTGTGGCTTTATTAAATTCAGTCATTTATTTATTTAAATAAAGACAAACTATAATCCTTGAAGTTCCTACATTCCCAACATATTTGCACTACTCCATTTTCCCCTGTCCGCTGCTGCTTAAACAGGTCACCTGACAGAAATAACAAGTCAGACATCACCTGAGTCAGACAACCTCAGAGACAGGAACAAGTGCCATTCTGCTGGAGACAGGAACACACCTTTCCCCAATATCATCCAAGGCCAATGTTTCTTTGTTACTTTTTTTGTTTCCCTTCAATCAGAAAGCAATGCTTACATGTGTCGGATTCAACAACACCACTTTCCCCTCCTGGGAAAATAAAATAACCCCTGCCTGCCCTAGTCTCTCCTAGGAACAGAATGCACTTCAAGAGGCAAACACCAGAATTTCATGTGATATAAACAGACTCCATCAATTCAGAGAGTGGGTGTTGACACTAAAACATTGACAGGTAATTATCCAAAGTACCTTAGAAAAGCAAGTTTCTGTGGACAATCGCTGCAATTTATTATTATCACTGTTGCGAGCCTCCGTGATGTTCTCCATTTATGGTTCCTGTAATCTTGTCTCCTCTGATGAATCTACCTTTTGTTTTTCATTAAGGTGTCAATGCAACAGACAAAAGGCCTGCTGAGTATGATAAAACCCATGGTCACCTGACAGAGGAAAACAGAACTTTATACCTGTAAGCAAAACACAGTTGTCCCTACAGGATGTATGTGTACCCACACTCTCATGTGCGTGCTTGTGCACACAAACACACACATTGTTCTTGACAGTCCTGAAGGAGATTACTTTAGGAATCTTGTTGCCAAGTTAAAGTGGGATATGTCAGGCTTGACAGTTCTAGACCAAGCATAACTGAAACCAGCCACCTCCCTCGCCTACTGACATCTTTATGTCTATTTTCTTTTGATCTTGCTGAACCCCTAGACTGATCTGAAAAGAGTGAGAATCTCTCTCCTTCAAAATTCTCAGGCCCCTTCTCTCAGTTGGAGATCCTGAACTACACACGGTGTGCCCTGAAGCATTATTTATTTCTAGACCATCTGCTCCAATGCTTGAGCAGCTACTTTCAAAGCCTTCCCAGCTCCTGTGGGGTGGGAGGGGTGGGAGAAGCAGTTCATCAGTCAGTCAATAGGGTATAGATGGATGTGCCATAAAAGTAGGCCAGACCTCCACTAGGGATTTAGATAAGCATTTCAACAGGTTCTTAAGAAGTGAATTCACTGAGTTACATGGAATTTTTATCAATCTAGTATCCTGGGCCAGTGACACAATCTTGAACAGTTTTCAAGACTAATGTAATTATCTTTCAAAATAATATCCTCAAAGGGGAAGGGGAAATGGGATTTTCCTGGGGCTTGGGGCTGAATGCCTGGAGAAAAAATAATAATAACAACTCAACAAAACACTTAAAATTACAAGATAAATGTAAATCCAATCCCTCCCATTCCTAACATAGGGAAAATGTGTCCCGGAAGAGGAAGAAACTTTTCAAAGAAAAGCTCAGATTTTTAAAATATATGCAGAGCATTCATTTTAAGGTAATTAGGAAAAGGTATTTTCTATTTGTCAGAAATGAAAGGCATGTGCACTCGGGATAGAGTTTTTGCTACCAAGCCATAAATAGCCAATGGATTATGAAATACGCTGTCCATATTATGTAACACTTTGCAACCTAGTTGGTCCTAAGAGAAAACATAAAAGTGAAATATAAGTTTTAAAAAGAAGCTATTTTTCCCCTATGTAACCTCCATTCCCATCCTAATGTATTCACTTAAGAAAAAGAAATATTTTAAAACAAAGAGAAAAACTAGAAATTTCTTCCATTGTAATATTCCAGCCTTGTTTCTATTCATTCATTCACTCGGTAAGCATTCATAGAGTTTCCCTTTTGGCTAGGCACTATAGCAGGAAGTAAAAGACAAGTAAGTTATGCGCAGTCCCTACCCAGAGGAATTAATTATGCTCTAAGTGCTACATAAACGCACAACATTATTTGGAGCCAAACACTGGGGGGCTTGAAACAGTCTTTACAGAAGACTTGACCATTAAGCTGAGTCTTAAAATATGAGTAAGAGTTGGCTAAGGGGCAAGATGGGATCTTCGCACATATTTCAGAGAGGACGAGGCATTTGCTTTGATTAAAACAGAGTATGCATGGGACGGATGGAGGAGGTGGTAACGGATGAGGAAAAGTAGGGGCCAACCTTTATGTTATATGTCATGATGAGGTACTTAAACCTTACCCCACATGCAATAGAAAAGCACCAGGGACCCCTAATGAGGAAAGATTTCATTTTTATTCATATAATTCCAGTGGTATCACAGAGGAGAGATGATAAGGCCCAGTAAGAATCAGTATTTTACCCAGCAGGATGTCCCAACCAAAGGTAAACCTAGTTTCTGTAGGAGCTAGCTGGATCTCCTCTCACATCTCCTTCCTTTGTAATCTCTATCCCATTCCCCTTTATCTCCTGCCAATCATTCATTCATTCAATAATTCCATCATTCAACAGATATTCATTGAACCCTCACCAAAATGGCAGGCCCTGTATAGGGAACAGTGATTAGGGGCACATAAGGACAATGTTTGCATGCTGGCAAAGCTTACAATTTAGCACAGCAGACAAATTTGTCTGAGTACAACTAATTGCAAGGATGTGTAATGAGGAAGCTAAAGGGAAGCTATGAGGGCTTCCCTAAGGAGTGATGGTTAGCTTGTGACCTGAAGGATGAGTAAGATTTAGCCAAAGTTTATATATTGGAAGCAAGAAGGGGAAGAGGCAGACATTGCCCAGCAAATGGGAAAAAGACAGAGGCACGGTAAAGCATGATGCCTTGGAGGAAGTGAAAGGTGTCCTGCATGCCTGGAGAGTTGAACAAGCTGGAGACGTGGGAGGGAGTTAGAGCCTACAGGACTGTATTACTCCAGAGCCTAGGCTGTGCTGCAGAAATAAAACCCTAAAGCTCACTGGCTTAGCCAGGAAAAAGGAGTTATTTCTCTGTCAAGTAAACTCTAATGCAGGTCAGATGACATTCCAGGGAAGTTTTTCTCCTTGGGAAAACTCAGACACCTAGGATCCCACCATCTTTTGTTGCCACCCCAACATATGGCTTCCAGAGTAACTACTACAGGGGGCGAGAGTGGTGGCAGTGGCATACCAGCTCTTAAATGCGTTGACCCAAAAGAGGCACACTCATCCACCACTGTCCAGAGCTAGTCACAGACACATAACTGCAAGAAAATCTAGACAATCTGGGAAGCACATGGATCATTTGCAATCTCCAAAATCTCTGAAAAAGATTAGCAAGCTCTAGCCACTAAAACCTTGCAGGCAGGGGACTGCTGGGATCAAGCTATGTTGTGGAGAATGAATTGGCTGGGCAAAGAAAGACTAGTTCTATTTCTCAAAAGTTCAAGTAAGAGAAGATAGTGACTTAGAATATGGTGGTGTCAACATACTAATTTAATAAATACCTAAATCCATACATTTTTAATAAAAATCCTAACAAGGAATTGGTTTAAACTGGTACTTGTAACAAAGGAATATTTTCTTAAGAGTAACAATAACAGAATGTGTAAGGTAGTAACTGAATTTACCTTGTAATTTAACAGATTGTAAAGGCTGAATTCTCCTCCCATAGGTTGAGGGGCAGGAGATGCTGGATAGCAAGGTTCCTTTGATCTGGTTCTGTGGAAGTGGAACAAGTAAGGAACACTTGGTAATATCTAAGATCAAAGAAGTACCCAGAGCAGAGATTCAGATGGGGAGCTGAGTGAACCAGAGAAAAGATACGTGACCTTCCAGAACCAGGCAGGTGGGTCAGTAGCCAAAGAGTAGAACCAGAGAGCAGAAGTATGGGCAAATGGCCACAGGAAATAGTAGGTGAAGCCAAAAAGTGGATACTCTGAAATGTTTTCTCATGCTTTCAGTAACCTGGAGCCTTGGAGGTACAACTGAAATTGTAGAGCTAGAGATAGAAGACAATAAAAGTTCCTCCAAGTCACTTCTCCAGCAATCATCCCCTTATTATGTCCAGGGCAAACTTTTTTTAAATTTCAGTTTTATTGACTTATAATTGACTTGATTTTAAATATTTTTTAATTGACTTCAGAGAGAGGGAGGGGAATAGAGAGATAGAAACATCCATCAGCTGCCTCCTGCATGGCCCCTACCCAGGCATGTGCCCTGACCAGGAATCAAACCTGTGACCTCTTGATTCATGGGTCGATGCTCAACCACTGAGCCACTCTAGCTTTACCCCATTCTTTCTCCTCCCTTGTTTATAAAAACTTTTTTGAAGTACGCTCTAAAATGATTGTATATCCTTCTCTAGCTTCTGACCTTCCACTTCATGAAAACTATTC